TACCAAAGTAAATTACTGCATAAATGCAGCAGCTATGCATAAAAATGGAGGGGCAGAGGCAGAGACTTAGTAGGTGGTTACATCAGACAGACTTGGAGCTTCTCAAGTCCCTCTGCAAGAAATGTCAGTTTAACTACTGAAAATAAACCTAGCAAACGAAATCCAAAGAGTCCAAACACGCATTTTAGTTGCAGCTTCAGTGAAAAGTAACAAGCAAGTGTGACATGTTATCTAATAAAATTATATTCCTGTACGATATACCTGAAATAATCAAGTTTGCAAAAGATATCTTTATCTTTGATGTAACAGCTGGTATGCCTTCCTAGAGACGTTCTGCAAACGCTGCATGAGAGACAGCGCACGTGCCAGCAGAGGTCGTTTACCTGCAAAAGCACAAAAGAAAAATACCCCTCAACGTTTGTGCTACCAATATTATATTTCATATCTACAAAAACTATTTTTTCCATCCATACAGACAAGGCCAAAAATTACATGCACCATGATTCATGGCAAATTTATCTTTAAGGCAAAACATTTTTCCTATAGAACTGCATGCACGTTACGGGTTAATTAATTTGATGGAGGTCTTCAAAACAAGCTTTCATGGTTTTGTAATTAAAAGCACCAGAAGAGGAAGCAAGAGAGTCAAGTTCCATGTAGATATTTTGTGCTCGGTTCTGTTCTCATAGCATTAGAGTAACAGAGCAAGTTTTGGCCTCGCATGACCTTGGGAAGGCAGCTAACTTACATACTTTTATTTCCCAGTCTGTGAAAAGTCCTGCCTAACAAAGAACTAACTTTGCAGAGTGATTTGAAATTTTAAAGCACAAGTATTGAAGGAAAAAGAAAGTCTGTTAAATGGAAACACACCATGAACCACATCTTCATTTGCCCAGGTTTCTGTTAAAGCAAAGTTAATGGAGTGAGAGTTTCAAAATATCAGCAGTTGCTTTAATAGCAAATTCAACAATTCTTTAAGAAGTAAAATCCATAGTGAAACTAGACATAGTCACGGAAAGCAGCAGAAATCAGCAGTTTTGAAAACCCATATATGATTTTTGAACAAATAAATTGAGCGCAATTATTTTCATTTCTTCATTGCTACAAAGAGAACTCTTTATTGCGCAGACATTGTGCATCACACATCAGCTAAATAACTTAAATAATTTGAAAACACAAGACTCCCAGTGAGCATAAAAATTAAGTAATAACGCTATGGATAATCCCATGCCACATCGGAGGAATTCTGTAAGCCAAACAATGAGTAAGTATAGATTTCCTCCCC